AAGGTGAATGGAGGAAGTGAGGTTTAATTTAATTTATTTATTTTCAATTTTATTTATTTATTTTATTTAAATTAAATGGGTTCTGGTCTGCATAGTCTAAGTGGCTAGTGCGCCAGAATCTTGTCATAAGGTCAACGGATCGATTCCAGCTGTATGCATGGACAATAATCTTTCCGTAATCCAAGACTCGATTGGGTATCAACTGGTATCCTTGCCTAAATGAGTGTGACAGCCTAATTATGGGTGTTGTCTATACACTTTCAGGTGCCACATGTAACGTTCACAAATTGGTCACGTGAACTGGGGCGCTGGGCTCACATGAGATGGCTAGTGCTTAGATTAGTGGTCAGAGGTCGAGTTCGATTCTCGATATGTTTGTAGTGTTGGTTGAAAAGGGAAGGTGATAAGGGGTTTAAATAACTCACGTGGTGTTACTTAGTTACAAAGGCGTTTGTGACGGACAGCCCAGACGCTTCTGGGTGGAGAGTAGTACCAACTTCCTAATTCTGCACCCTCTGTACTGTGTAGTCACAGGTCTTTCGTGATTTTCATGCCACAATGATATCTCAGTATAATAAACTATCAGTTCACTTCAGATGTTTCTGTTGGACCGCTGATAGCGGGCTGTAACCTGGGATCTATGAAGGATAATATCCTGCTGGTCCAGTGAGTGTTTATGATATGAGAAAGTACTCCCATGTCATTAGTGACTAAAAATGGGCTCATATGACTCATGTAACATGAGCAAGGGTTGGTCCGAATACAAAAAAAAAAAAAAAAAATGAGATATAATTCTACTTCCAAAGGAATATGCTAGAATTTGAAGTTTGTTATATGGAAATTGTATAATCAGTTATCTTATTGTTTTGATCTGGTTAAAAGAAAGAAAGGTACTCAAAAATGATACAAGGCAATGGGATTTAATTCCTATTGCTGATGTGACATATATTTAGAAACAAGTTAAGATATATGTGAAGTCTATGAAGAATATCAACAAGATCATAAGATTATTTCCATTATGTCATGAAATGAAATACAAGACATTCATTGTAATTTGATATGAGGAGGAGTAGAGAAGCTCGAAGGAAATCAGTATAAGTTGCATGTAGCAGTTCTCGTCTTGTTGACATAATTTTACCGCAGTAATTTTTACGTAGAAATATTTCTATTTTTATTTATTTTTTTTATTACTTTTATATTTTCTTTTTATTTTATTTTTGCTGTTGATTTCACATTAAAACAGGATGAAAGAATGTGATAATTATTTATCTAAATTGTCTTATCTAGTACATGTGAATAATTTATATTATTTCTATTTATATTATATTAGCTAATTCACATGTACCTTTTTTATTTCTTTTTATATTATTATATTAATTATGTCTACCTATTCTGGAAAGGTTCTATGAATCTAAGATATGTAATAATATTTATTTATATTTATAATTATGTATTTTTATTATTATATAAAGGTATAAGAAAATAAAGAAGCAAGCAAGTTCTTGTCAATTAATTTATTTTATAACCTAAATTTTGTTGGAATAATATTTGTTGATATTATTTCCATGTAATAAATAGTTGTTGCTATTTATTTGCTCATTTATAAATTAACGAATTAGTAGATTCGTTACACTTGGTAGTAGCGGATGTTAAAACCTTTACCCAACCCAACCCTTTGTTAACTTCTGCTTGAACAAATACAACCTTTGTTTTTCTTTGCTTAGTTGTAGCTAAGTAAATCCAACCTAACCCAGACTTTTGTTATTCAGAACCAGCTGAATAAAAACCCCAACCTATAATATATTAATTTCACTGTTCCATCACACGATAATATTTTCTTTGTGCACAGTAATTCGTGAAATGATATATTGCTAGCTTATGTTTAGATTCTTTAACTTTGGTAGTAATAATAACAATAACCCAGAAGACAACCAACCTACCTCAGACGAAGATATAACCTTTGAAAACTCTGAGTCTAACCAACTTTTTGCTGAAGCTAAATTACGCTGTTATCCGTGTAAACCTTCTACAATTTACAAAGACAATGGGATAAAATAATACTAAAACTAATAATAAAACTAAGTATAACTATAAGAATTACTAATCTCACAATAAAATAATCACAATACAAGGGTTTATGCGTAGAAGAAATTAAGTACGATCAATTATGAAAGAGGCATATTTAACTATTAACAGTGGTATGAAGACTTGTTAATAGGAGCAAACAGTTTATCAATTATCAAAAGAATACAATAAACAAGGAACTCAAAGGATTTTGTAATATTAACTTTATTACTTAATAAATCTTAACTAATTCAAAAACTAAGATGAACTTGAGAACTGACTAAAAAACTGAAGACTGAGTTAAGGAAATTTTCAGCCTTTATATACATTATTATTTTAACTGCTAAGCTGACTTGTAATCTGACTGTAAACTTCACTAGTAACTATGTTAATATCCTAACTAGTACCTTAACTGTTAATTTAACTTGTACTTTAACTGAGATATTAACTCGTACTCTGGCTTGTACTCTAATTTGTATTCTAGTGTTACAGATTAACAAGAATTTAAGAATCTACTAATTTAAGTAATAATATCTAATTTGTACTATTGACTATTAAATTGATCTACTGTAATACTATATATAATACTAAGAAATAAATGTATATAATAACTAATAATAAAATAATATATATATAATAGAATATATAATAATAGAATATATAAATAATTAATAAAAATAAAAATAAAAGCAAAGGTAGCACTGTACAGTATTCATATTGTCCTTTCAATTCTTGCATCCTTAGCAGTAAAATAATAAATATTCTTTTTTCCAAGTTAATTTCTTGGTCACCTTATATTTCTCAATTTGTTGGGTGAGAATTATTACTTTCTTTTTCTCTAAAGATAATTCTTCCTATATTTTTTGTTGTTCTTTCTGTTTATCTTCTATCTGCTTTTTGAGATCTTTATTAATTTCTTTTATTTGTTCCAGTTGTTGTGTCAGTTCTTTATTTCCTTCTTTAAGTTGTCATTCATTTTCTTTTACTTCTTTGTTTCCTTTTTTAGTTCTTTTTTCAGGAGGGTTATTCTCAATATCTCTTTGATTTCTTTTTCTTGTTGTTCTTGTAATTCTTTTTCTTGTTGTTTTCATAATTCTTTTTCTTGTTATTCTCATAATTCTTTTTCTTGTTGTTCTCATAATTTTTTTTCTTCTTTTGTTTCTGCAAATATTCTCCTTTTATGTCCTCCTATTAATCTCATATTCTTTTTAAATTCTATAATATTAATTGCTAACTTGTTCCAGTATTCATTTCTAGTTATTTCTAATTCATCTTTATATCTTGGGCATTTGGTGTATTTATCAATGTGTACTGTTTATATTTCCAACAGTATAAATGTTCACAATGCATATATTCTTTGTAGTACTCACATTGTACCCATTTACATCTTTCTCCAACGAAAGATCTTACTTTTCAAAATACTCTTGGTTCACATTTGCAGGAGTTTGTTGTATGTTCATGTTCAGCACAATATTTACTCAACTCCCTATAGCAGGTACAAATCAGATACTTAATTCCTGCTTCATCATACTCTATTACTCCATAGGGACAATATCTTAGGTCATGGATCATAGTTAAATTAGCATCAAACATGTATTTTTCTCCATCCTTTAATTTCTTGTGATCAAAATATTGACACATTGGTATGCAATATTTGCTTCATGCTATTTCTTCACTTTCTTTCCAATTGGGATATTTATTTTTTCCTTTTTTATCAAAGTTTGCTTTCCTTATTATTTCTTCTTCTGAGTCTTGGTCCAGTTGATTTTTTCTTTACTTGATTCTTCTTTTTGGTTGTAGTTGTTTCTTCCTGGGTTATAGGTTAATCCATTGGCATAAACATTTTTCTTTGTTTCAGGGGATTTATTTTTGTTCTTGTTACTATTACAGGTTCAGAACTCTGTGTTCTTTCTCTTTTCTCTATTTGGAATTTTCTTAATTCATATAATTCTTCTCTTTCCAGGGTATATTCTCTATCTTTCTTTTGGCATCCTCTACATCTTTCATACCATTGATTGTCAATATTGAAAGATAAAAGGTCTCTCAATTCAGTTGCTCTTTTACAAAAGCAACAATGTGTATCAAATCTCCAATCAGGGTCTCCTTCTTCTTTCTGTTTTAAAGATGTTTCATATACAGAAGTTCTTCTACATCCACATTCCTTTGAGTAGTTTCTTCTATACCTTGAGTTATCACAATTCTTGTCAACATTAGTAGTTCAGGAATGTTGAGTGGATCTTTCTTCATATCTGTTGCAAGGTTTAGAAGTATACCATCCTAAGCTATAGTTTAAGGATTTAAATCTCCTTCTGTGACTCATAGTTTTTGTCCTCTAGTTTAAAGTTTATTTTGTTAAGGATTTGTTCAGGTTTTTTAATTTATTATTTTCTGAATAGGTTTTTCTAAATATTTGATTTTTGTTTTCAGGTCTTTTGTTTTTCAGGGATTTCTTCATTGAAGATAAGTTTTCATCTTGGTCAAATTC